AAAAAAAAATACGAAAAACAAAAAAGTAGAAATTTTTGAAAAATATTTTTTAGAAACTCAACTTGTTTGTCATCATCTAAAAAAATCAAAAAGGCAAAAAGTCTTTATCCTATTTAAGTCACATCACCTCTTTACCACATCACTTCAAACTCAACATATACTCAATACATATTTAATCAAAAATAAAAAAGTACACTTATTTATAACTTATTATATAATACTTTTTGTTTTTTTACATTTTCTTATGAAAAATAAAAAAATTACTCTCTTCGTCTTAAAATAATAATTTTTTTAAAAAAATTTAACTTATTTTAGTAGTACAATTATTACATTTTAAAAAATTTAATTTTTCAAAATTATCCTTTAATAGTATATTTTTAAAAAAAAATATCAATGGTCATAATTATATTTTTTGTGTTGTTAATAAATTTAAAATAATAATAAAATATAAAATTTATATCATTCTAATTCTTAATTTTTTTAAAAAAAATTAATATTTTAAGAAAATAAAAATAAAATAAAAAACTAATATTTAAAAAAAAAGAAAATTAAAATAATCGCTTCTCAAATCATGCTTTACTTTAAAATAAACAAATGTCACACCATTTCACAGTATTTCTCTCTCTCTCTCTCTATAGTCCATACAACTTTCTTTCTTTTTTTTTTTTTTTTTTTTTTTTTGGGGGTTTCTTAAAATTGATACACTAAGATTTTTAACTAAGGTATTTAGTAAGAATAATTATTATATTGAATCCTAATTAAAATAATTTATAAACAACAAATATTGAACACCCACAAAATTTTTTATTTTTTATAATGTCTTGTTAGTGATTGAATTGAGTCAATTTAAAACTAACTTTTACACTAATATATAATTCAGATAGACTGTAGACAAAATTAATTAATTAATTTATTTATTTATTTTCTTTAAGGAATAATTAAAGATGGGTTTTCACACGTAAGGAGTTTTGTGAGAACTCCAAAATTTTATAATAAATTTGTGATTTTATCAAATTAAAAAATAAATTTAAAATTGTGTTGGGATTACAATTATATTCTAATCCTAACATTATTTACACTGTGCCTCCAGGCACAAGCATACGCTAGTGTATATAAAAGTAGGATGATTTTTAAATTTGTCTTACACACATTTGTCCGACTAGGACATTTAGACGGCTCATATCTATTGAAATTATAAAACAATGGCTGAGATATATTTTTCAAAAAATATCCTACATGTACATTTTCTATTTTCCCGCTTCTCTCTCTTACTTTTTTCTTTACTCACCCATCTTTTTATGATCTCATGATCCCATCTTTGTCCTATATAATAAAGTATGATGGTTTTTCTCTCTATTTGTTTTTTTTTTTGGGTTTGGTTATGGTGTGCAACTTACACCTTACACCTTATACCTTACACTTACACCTTACACTTACACCTTTTGTAAAAAATTAAACCTTACACTTACACCTTTTTTGAGGTTGCACACCATATGCAACCCACTTACACCTTACACCTTACACTTACACCTTATACTTATACTTACACCTTACACTTACACTTTTTGTGTAAGTGGCACATGGTGTGCACTTGCACACTTAAGAAAACTCCTTTATCAATTACGTGTATCAATCAAATATAAAATAATTGTTGGATGCAAGATATGTTTGGACATAAATGATAATGAAGGGTAAAATAAGAATCTGGTTTAAAATTAATGACATCATCATTATCCATTTCCTTGACTAAAGTGTAAGACCAAAGTGTTTTAAAAATTTAGGAAAATTTTGTTTAAGATCACTGATATTAAGATTTTATAAGATAAAATATATATAATATTTTCATAGTAGTTAAAGTCTTTCAACATTTCTACAGAGAAAATTTAATTCAGAAAAATTTTACCTGATTTAGAGAAATTTTGTCCAAACTCAGAGAAATTTCAATTTTATAGAGAAATTTCTCTATGATCATACCAGAGAAATTTCGATAATTTTCTGAGTTAGTGCCGAAATTTCTTTGAGTCTGGCAAAATTTCTCTGAGTCAAATTTTCTCTGTCAAAATGTTAAGGGACCTTAACTAATACAAAAAACATCTTGAACTTCTCTTACAATACAAAATTGGAGAGGGATGTTTCACTAATTTTTGCAAAAAATTATATTGCACAGAAATAATGTGTAATTATGTGAAAATTACAAAATTAATTGTATTTTATTCATTATTGGTGGAATGTCACTATAATTTACCCTTAAATATTGATGAAAAAAAGGTTGCATAATATTATTTTGTTTGCCTTTGAAACCAAAATATTATTTTTATGTTTTTCATTTTAATTTTTTCAAAAAAATTAATTTTAGTCTTTTTTTAAAAAAAAAAAAAAAACTTTTAAGATCCATCTAATCTATATACACTTAAAAGTAAAATTATTCTTTAAAAAATCTGAAAAAAAAGGATCATTAAAGATTAAAAAATGAGTACATTTTCCTTCAATTTTTTTTTTCTAGAATATTTTACTTTTTAAAGTGTATTTAGACTAGTTAAGTCTAAAATGTATTTTTTGGAATAAAATGAAATAAAAACAGAAAAACAAAAAACTCAAAAATAGTTTTAAAAAACTAAACCAAGTAGAGTGTGATTGTGTATTTTTTTTTATGGGAAAAAGTCTATCATATACGCTCTACATTACACTCTAGAAGTGTTTATATCATATACATCTTCACTTCTTGTGGGGAAATATTTTCTGAGTCCTAACATGTGGCCAAGGTGACGCCGACGTGTCAGCCGATGTGCCACGTGTCCAGGTTATGACGTCGAGGTGATCTCGGCAAGGCCGAGGTTATCTCCGAAGATATCGGAATCCGAGATAAGCGGATAAGTGACGAGAGTCCAAGAATAAGGAAAGACTTTAGCATGGATAAGGGTAACACTCTTAGGAAGTTTATCTTTATCACTTGGAGAGTTCAGGATAAGCACTGAGCAAGAGTCCATTGAAGCTATGCTTCTAGTAGGACAAGGATTGAGTTAACTATAAAAGAGAGGCACCACCGATGGGTCTAAGGTACGCTATTTATAATCTGAACAGTAAGTTTAGCACTATTGATTATCTTTGAGAGATATACTGACTTGATCGTCGGAGTGAACCCGGGTAGACGAACCATCGCTGGAATCTTCTCTTTCTGTTGCACGTCAGCCAGTTGTCATCTGTTCTGCAGTGCTTTCCAACTGAATACTGAGTTGAGCAGTGTGATCGGAAAATCACTCACATAATTTGGCGCCATCTGTGGGAAAGAAAGAAGAATAAATGACTAGTGACGGACAGAAGGAAAAAATTGGGGACAATACTCCTGCAGGGAGTGGCAGACCTATCGACCTTGATGTCGAAGGAGACAATCGCTACACAGAAACTCGTGACCAGAATCACAGCAAGAAAGACGTCGGCCGGGATGGTGACATACCAAATAAGCCAGATCAAAGTGGGTATTACAATGAGGATGACCTCCAGGTGTAGAAGGATAGATGCCTGCGGAGGGACGGAGAGGTAAAAGAGATGGCAAACAAATTGGCAGATCTACAATCGGTTGTTAATTTTATAATGCAAAAAAATGTAATACAGCCACCATACCCGCTGCAGGACACGCCAATCCCAGCGGCCAATGCCAAGAAGGGAGGGCAGAAGCAAATCCCAATAGCCCCTCAGCATACCAAGAGTGAAAAGCACTATCACCGGCCTTTAAGGGAGGTCGGATGAAGAGAGTCAAGGAGAGAAGAATCGCGGGGGACGCATCGCGCGAAGGAGACAGACCCCAAAAAACATCGGCATGTTCAGGGGCAGGCACTCTGCTTCGACACAACCCACGGAGAAAGATAAAAAAGGACCCACCATGAAGCTGAAAGTAGTTTGTCGAAAAAACTGAAGTCAGGAGATAACTGAGCTCCTGGGCGGAGCAAAGAAGACTTAAGAGATTACCTCAAAAGGAAGCAGCAGAATGCCGATGCCGAAGTAACTTTCCCTGAAAAGCCGAGAACACCATTCTCAGTAGAGTTAGACAAATTTGAGGCTTCAAAGAGATTCAGTATGCCAATGTTCCAAATATACGATGGTAAGTCAGGCCCCAACTTTCACGTTGGATTATACTTGAACTCGATGGCAAAGTATAGTGGGAATGAG